GACAGAGGTTTATCTGGTGAGCTAGTCAACCATGTCTAATCAGAAAATGTAAGGTGTGGAGAGAGAGGAGGCTCCCTATTGAAAGGCTCATTAGTAAAAAGTCATATGTGAGCAGACACCATAATTAAGGCAGGGAGTAATATTTAGAGATACCTGGGGAAAGGTACTTCTAGAACAAAGGAACCCAAACTAAACCTACTCCAGGGATTGGAGCATCCTAGATGTATTCCAAGAGGACAGAGTGGGCCAGTGTGACTGGAGTGGAGTGAGCAAGGGGGAAATTAGTAGGATATGAAATCACAGATGAGGTGAGGCTTTATAGGTGCCATTAGAGATTCAGGCTTCAACACTGAGGAACACTGGAAACCCCTTAAGGGTTTGGGTAGAGGAAAGACATGATCTGATTGGTCTGATATATGCTTGAAAGGATCCCTTTGTTGTAGAGAAACAAGGGGAGATGATCAGGAGAGCAGTGAGGAAGTTATTGAGATAGGCCAGGGAAGAAAAGACTAGAGAGAAGTGCACATGATGGGAAGTGGGCAGATTTCAGATGTTACTTGAAGGTGGAACTCACTAGATTTGTGAATGGATTGGATTTGGAGTGGAAGAGAACATAAACAAGGAGAACTCTAAAAATTTTGACCCCAGAAAATAGAAAATTAAATTTCCATCACTTGAAATGGAGAGAACTATGGGTTAAGCAGGATTATGGGGATGAGCAGAGCTTCTGTTTTTTAAACATGCTATTAGACCTGCATGCCCATAAGTGCAGATAATAAGTGGGCAGTAGAAACCATGGCTTTGAGTTCAGGAAGGAGATGTGCACCAAAATATCAATTTTATGGTCTCTAGCACATAGTTGGTACTAAAGGTACAAACCTACAGGTGAATGACAAATGATGGTCTGAGTTAACATTGTGCAAATGTGATGTGTATTCAGTAGGAACTATAGACATTGTGGATTTGAGTTTTGATCTTTTCCTGGAGTAGTAATATGCAATATAATACTTTTTGGTAATTCTGGGCCATGACAGTGAGCACAGCTCCCTGCCAGACATGGGATCATGATGGTGAAAATAGACACCCTACTCTGTACTATCTGCTAAACTAGGACGTTGGGTTAGGTGCACAGAACGCATGTTTTTTTTTAGGGGGGGTACCAGAGATTGAACTCAAGGGCACTTCACCACTGAGCCAGATCCCTAGCCCTATTTTGTATTTTTTATTTAGAGGCAGGTTTTCACTGAGTTGCTTAGCTCCTTGCCATTTTTAAGGCTGGCTTTGAACTCTTATCTTCTTGCCTCTGCCTCCCAAGCAGCTGGGATTACAGTTGTGTGCCACCACACCTGGCACAAAATGCATTTTTGACTCATCATGGTGTTTTCAATTTATGGTGAGTTTGTTGAACTGTAATCTCATAATAAGTTGAGGGCATCTGCATAGAGAACAGATGTGTAGATGGTACACTGTCTTCAAAATGATACTAGATGACACAGAATTAAATTTTTAGTGGTAGTTTTTATATATGATTACATTAATGATATTAGTGAAATACTGATTTTTTATACATGTAAATTTCATAGAATTCCCCATGAAATTAAGAGTTTTACACAAATATGAGTACACTTAAGCTACTAGTTTAAAAATAAATAGTAATAATAATAAATAATAGCAAATACTACTAATAAATAATATTAAGTGTCATACCAATATTTCAATATTTTGAATACAGTTTCAGGAGAAGTTTGTAAAACACAGATATATTAGAAAAATTTCTTTTCTGGGTCAACAACTTTAGTCCTTATTATTAGCCAACAGCTTTAAGGCAAGTCTTTTCGATTCTCTGTGTCTTTTGCCTTTATCCCTAAAATATGGCAATAATAATAACATCCTCCAAATGTTTTCTCTCACGAGTGGATGCTGATCCATAATTGGGAGCATAGGAAAAATGGAGGAATTTTGATTGGATAAAGGAAAGTGAGAGAAGAGGAGGAGGTATGGGTGCAGGAAAGATG